AGTTCTGCGACCCCGGTGGCTGCCTGAACGAGCCGGTGCAGGCGATAGCCATTCTGCTGCTTGCTCGTCTGCTGATCAGCAACGCCGCCGAGCTCGGCTATCCGCTACTCAAGAGCATCGTCAAAGGTACGGTACGGTTCCGTTCGCCGTATGCGACGCGTCTTTCGTCGTTTTCTTGTCGTCTTTCGTTCTTTAAATCCAGACACACGCACACAACTCTGTCCCCTGATCACAGGCCCCTTCACTCAAGCCTCCAATTACGGTAACTCGTTCCTGGTACAAAGGCGATTGTTTACTCTGTTGAGCAACACACAGCAGCGGTACATCACAGAACAGGGAATTGTCATAGTCGCCACCTACGTACACAATGTGGCACGGATTGCAGAATCCCAATTCGCCCTCGTTAAAGTCACGAAAGTTTTAAAAAATAATTCTTCTCCTTCAATGTACAACTTACAAATTTTACTCCATTTTGCGCAGTACTCGCTAGCCGAAACCCTTGCAGGGGGGGGGGTTGCGGGTTATCGTCCGTTCTCTACGTCATGACCGTATTTTCTTCTGGCGGAACGACCGAGGAGACTACAACGTCACCCAATGAATCTCTGGCCGCGCAGTGAATATCAGTTTATCAGTTTATAGAAACAGCTGATTCCTTTCTCAGCAGAATACAGTACACATAGGTTTCGTTATACACAACGAAATATCTTGGTCTATGGAGTGATAAACCAGTACCGGCAGTTGTAGACATTACATGGGTCTACTTCAAGATAAGATGGTTGACAAATTGCAGATGCTCCAGTGCTAAGTTGTTGCAACTGTCAGTGCGGAGGCGGAAGCTGAACCTCACGACGAGCTGCCTATTAAGTAAATTTTTGGCGACAGGTTTTATAAGGCTCATCTAGCCAACAAAGAGTTCGTGTCCTTCGTCAAACAGTGTCGCAATACATGACTATCGATTAATGCTTCGTTAACGCTCTTGTTCAATCATTTTCTCTTTTCGCCAGTAATTCCTGACGGATACGGCATGGTCGTGTCCTTCCCGCATGGCGTGATTCACGATTTTGGAGGTCGTTCCTCATTCGACCTTTATTTGACACGTTTTC